GAGAGAGAGAGAGAGAGAAGCAGAGAGTGGTAGAGAGGAATAGAGAGAGAGAAAGAGGCGAGAGCGAGAGAGACAAGAGCGAGAGAGAGCGAGAGAAAAGCAAAGAGAGCGAGAGAGAGAGAGAAAGAGAGAGAGAGAGAGGGAGAGAGAGAGAGAGAGAGAGAGAGAGAGAGAGAGAGAGAGAAGAGAGAGAGGAGAGAGAGAGGAGAGAGAGAGCCTACCCACGCCGTCACCCGCGGCTCGGGGCAGGGCTTGTGGGCGGGACCGTCGCATCCGGGTCAACTCGGCGGGCGAGCCACCTCACCCCACCGGTCCGGTTTGTGATATGAACACTCGCGGCGGGCCGCCCCTCGCATCGGCCCCCGGCCTGGGCCCAGGTCCAGGGTCGGCCACCCGTTCGCCGGCCGCCGCGGGCGAGTTCACGGTTTTCGGACCGTTCGCCCGTGTCTCTCCGCTTGCGGACCGGCAGCGAGGCGGCCGGGGCGGCACAAACCGTCCTGCACGGGCGCGCTGTTGCCGTTCCCGACGCCTGCGAACCGGTTCTGGACGACCCGGGTCGCCGCGAAGCGCTGCGCGACTCCCTCGATTGTCCGGAGGGAGGAGCGTGCGCGGGACGACGCACACTGCCAAGGTTAATTGACGGGGCCATTACCGCGAACGGCCGGCGCGCGCCGACACCCCCGCTAATCAGGCACGGCGCGCGCCCAGCTGCCCACACCCGGCGTCCGATTATCGAGTGACGCCGCGGTGCCGGCCCGACGTCACGGGCTCACACCGGGAAATCCTGTTCGCCACAAGAGCGTATTTATTCTGCGGCGGCTTCTGCCCGCCAGACCCTTGCGGTGTGGCTCAGCATGCAGACGTACTGTGTCGTGGCGGCGGTGTTGGTGGCGTTGGCCGGCCTGGCCTCCGGCCAGGAGTTGGTGAGCTCCACCTGCCTTGGCTGCATCTGCGAGGCCTCCACTGCCTGCAACACCACGCTGGGTTGCACGTCGGCCGGCTACTGCGGCCCCTTCCTCATCTCGCGGGCCTTCTTCCTCGACTCGGAGCTGCAGCAGGAGGCTAACTTCGCTTCGTACTCGTACGAGTCGTGCACCTCCGACCCGTTCTGCTCGGCGGCCGTCATCCGCAAGTACATGGCCAAGTACCCGCGCGACTGCGACGGTGACGGCCTCAGAACATGCTCCGACTACGCCATGGTGCACAAGACGGGCCCCAACAGCTGCGCCAACAACCAGGCGGCACTGAACAGCGAGTACTGGAAGCGGTTCCTGGCCTGCCTCAGCTTCTACCCCAACGCTTAGAGCCGAGCGTCCGAACGCGGAAAGGAGCCTGGACGAGGCGGAGAGAGCAGCAAAGACGTGGCAGGAAAACGGCCGGGGGCCAAGACGTCGGCACGACGTCGACACACAGCCGGTGGTAGGGAGAGCGGCACGCTAGAGCGACGGATCCGTGCGGCTCCGGTCCCCGAACGCTCTCCTGGGCCGGTGGACGAGTTCCGCTGTCGTTATCGTGCAATGTCTGCCGGGCAGACACGAACTTGTTGCAAAGAAACAGGGGCTGGACGATGTCGGCTCAGCTGCGGTTCACGCGATCATAGCATCCGGCATGCTCTGTGATTCTGTAAGCTGGTTTATTGATGTTTTAGACGAACCGACGGTAGATTGTTACATTGATATGAATAAATGTGCTGCACTCAGACCAGTGTGTCTTCCTTTCAAGTTGTTTTCTGCCAATTGACGCAACAGCTGTATTCAGAATAAAAAAGGCAGCAGATGCAAGAGGCCGGACGCTTTTCTATACCTTCTCTAGGAAACTTTCTCTGGTCACCATTAAGCAAAACACTTGAGATGTGACTGAAATAGAAAACCACTGTGGAATACAGCCATACTGGATTTCACTTGCGGTGCACGCTTCACTGCCGTTCCGGAGCAAAGGGAATGACATGGCCGAGAAAAGTCTTTAAACGTGTGTAAGAAAAACGGCGGTCAATATAAGGCAGCCTTTACTACACATGGCATTGCCATTTGCCGTGCAGGAAATGGTACTAGATATCATTCCATGCTCAGTTCATAAGATTAAAAATAAGTACTATGCATTACCGTGAATGATGTATTCACAAGATCAGTTAAGGAGTTTGTTACACCAAATTATCATGAACTGAATTGTGTTCATTGCTGTGGAAGAATATTGCCTGTTGGCAAAGGTGGGGAGATCAACTCCCCTCCTCAACTCAACTCCGGCGGTCATAACCCACAAGGCTGTCGGAGCCCTGAACAGACCGGGGTGTCTCGCTGGATGACCTTGAAGCCAGCCCAGACCTTGAGCAGATATCGCGGCCGCCTGCAGAGACCATCCAGCGGTTGTTTATGGAATCGTTTGACCTCCACGGCAATACCTGTTGGTAATTATCCCCTAACCTTTGGCAGCCCGCACGCAGCCACGGGTTGCTGTGGTAGGCAAACTGACAGCACGCCGCGAAGTGGTCACTGCTTTGAAAATGCAGCTTGAGAAATGTGTCTTGAGAAAGTAAAAGCACGGGAGAATATTAAAAAGTCAGAGACCACAAAATAGCTTCAAAGACTTCCTTTTGATAGACAAGGGTGAACCAAATGATCTTCGTTGGAGAGAAGTTTAGACCATGGATTGCAGAATGAGGTCGACTCCAATATGCAGGTGCACAGTATCTTTGCACTAGTACCTCGTCCAAACGAGGCTGTCTTATGATATACTGTCTACGATAATATGTCTCTCTCCGTATTTCTGTCAGTTTGCTTCCCGTCTCTAGCTTGCTGGCCCGTGTGCAGGTCAAAAAGATGGCAGGAAGAGCCTGCAATTTTCACAGCACGAATGTACGAGCATGAGGAGTACGAGCACGCGCTGCTCGTGATGCTGACAGCTCGTGATGATTGGCAAACGTCTTCGTTGGTAAGAAGATCCTTTTTAAGCCCATAGGATTGCCATGAATTGTGTGGGTGGAGAAACAAGTTGAGCGGTAATCAAGCCGTCCAAAATAAATTCAGTTTGTTGTAGGGGCGATGGTGCGTTTTAAGATCTTCATTTGTCTGAGGACGCCGATTTACGTGAGTAGCGCCAGTGCACGCAATGTGTCATCGCCGATCGAGGACGGTCGTAGGGATAATCTATATGATACCTTATTCAGCGGTACTTGACGGCTATCGGAGATGTAACAGCAGTGACCATTCGACGACCTGTAAATTGCAGATAAGACTGAGTATGGGCAGTATCGAAACGTTGCGGCAGTGGTAAGGTAGTCAGAAATACGACGGAAGTAGAACAATGTGGCTGGCTTAAAAAAATACAGCATGCAACGGAAGGTGCGGCGATGACCAGCCGAAAACCGAGCACAGGCGGCCGTGTGAACTTTACACGGGTTTATTTGTACGCCGAATTATTCAAGGTCGGGCTCATTGTGTTTAGTATGCGTTCCAGTGTCACCAGTCCGCACGGCGTGCCTATGAAAGTGTTCAAAAAATGTTTTGCAGCGATTCAGCGAACGCTCTGAGTGAATTCAGATGCGTCCACACCAGGCGGTATTATTTTGTTGTTATTGTTTTATATGTTTTAAAGTTATTTTTGTTTTGGCCGCGACGGACTCGGCGGCCGAGACGTGGTTTTAGCCTCATGAATTGCTGGAGACAAGTGTCAATCAATACGCACAAAGACAGGCCCGTACGCACGTAATAAGAGCCCCCGGGAGCGTAGGGGAGCCCCGTACCAAATTAGTGGCATCTATAAATATGCACGGGACTTAATGCTGACAGCTAATAACTCTGGATGGACGCGTACGAATAGTATGGAGAACATGCTGTTTTATGCCAGGCAACACATTTTGCTGAACTCGGTCGTCACTGAACAGCGTGGAGTTGTGCCCCCCTCCCCCCTCCTCTCTTCCTACCCCATCGTGAAATCATACGCACGCTACTGCATAGAGTCATACCTTCAAGAGCCAAGACGAGTGATTTGTTAACCGCATAACTGTTGCCAAAAAGAAGCGGTTGAATATGAGTGAATGGCCACAAGCCACAGACTGTGGAACTCTTGTCATCTAGAGAAAGTTTGCTGCTTGGCGGACGTAGACGGAAACTGCACCTCACGCTGGAGTCATTGCAAAAAATGGGATGCTATGACTGTGTTGACTGATGCTACCAATACGTTGGTGTGCAAGGGAAGTGTGAACCGTAATGGTTTAGGGGCCTGTTGTGGTTCCAAAAAGGTCCACCGAATTCTGCTTCTGTTAAATAATGATAGGCAAAAAGAGGCTGACATTATGGGTGCTGTTTGAACAGACTGATGTGCTGCACTGTAGAAAGGATTGTTCGACAGGGCATGGTACGACAACCACAGGAAGCAAGCGCGGGAGCACCTGCAGCGGAACCGAGGGAGGTGGTCACGTGGGAAGCTGCACCCGTCGTCTCCCCCCCCCCGCCCCTCAGAAAAACCGCAGAAGCAAGCGCTGAGTAAGTGCAGTAAGAGTGGTCAACTACATCCCGGATCCTCAAAACCAAACATGAGCATCATGACGTTGCACGGAGGGAACCGAGGGCAAATCGGGTTTGCCACTGAAGCTCTTCAGAGGATTCATCGTCAACGGAAGCAGTTGAACCCAAGGACGGCAGATCCCAGGGTAGCAGGACAGACCCACCTGCAGCTGGATAACACTGGCGTGGTGCGGCGATCGTCAGGTGCGGAGCCATACATTTGCCGTTGACACGCTAGCTGAATTCACCGAATTCTTCCGCGATTTTTCTTATTTAGCTTATCTTGCTTATGTTGCTCGTAAACTGAAGTGACAGGTGTTCAGGAATTTAACCAACCAGATGGAATCAAGCGGAAATGTCACAGGCATGAAGAGCACCTGTTGATCACATCCTTGCCCAGATTCTGACACACATCTATGCCATTCAAATTCCTGCTGGCAGAAGTCGGAATCTTTTTTATCTTCCAACAGCTGCAGCGTACTCATTTTTCGTTCTCTTTTTTCCTATCTAAGAACAGTTCCTCACCATGGGATGCCCGGTTCCACGGAGACTGCACGCATCGGTCGCGCCCCTCAGATGCGTTTCATTGCGGTTACTGCCTGAACTGTTTCGAAGACATGGTCGGACGTGGGTTGCCGGCAAAACAAGTTTTCCACTGGGGAGGATTTCGCGGTTTACTGGGGGAAGGGCGCTTTGGCGATCACTGCTGCCCCTGCCCTCTCCCTAGTCACCAGGTTAAAACAGGCTCTGCCTCACAGCCACGTCGGGTCTGAAGGGCTGGTCCACTTTACGGAGTGTTAATCGTTGGCCATAATTGTCACCGCACTTACCGCGAGACCTTCACAAGAAGCTCGGTGAAAGGCAGGCCTGCACACGGCATGTTAAATGACGGGAGACCAATGACGTCACGTATTACGTCACAGCGTTGCGGCACCAGGCTCTTTTAAGGACATGGCCCGCGTCCGACGTTCATTCAACTGCATACGTAGAGTATTACGGTGTTTCGCCCAGATTTATGATCGCCCAGATTTTATAGCTGATCGTTCTTTTCGCCTCAGTTTTTGACAATCTTTGAGCTGTTGCACAAGATATAACACGGAATACGCAATAGTTCCTTAGATGCTCCTTTTTATTTACGAAATGCCGATGAGAATATATCAATTCTTGAAAAGTACAGTGTTGGCAAAATAGTTCAAGCTTGCCTAACCACAGTCATGATTTGTCCATATCTCTTTACCCAAACGTATTTTTCCATTTTAAAGTTGAGTCAAAATTTGGGTTTTAGGGGTGCTGAATGTATGTGAAAATATAGGTATTTACAGAACATCTGTCAGTCCACAGGGAAGATGACACAATGTAGGTGCCGCGACTGAAGCTACACTATCGCGCCGTTCAGGCCAAGGACCCGGGGGTCTGCAGCAAAAAACGGAGTGTGGGTTTGAAACGAACTTCCTCCAGCATTACTATGAAATGTGCATAGCCCTTCAGCTTCATAATTTCGGGGTGCTTTGAAAACATCTTATCAAGAGAAAATAATGACGGTTGCCATATTATTTATGAATTGATGACTAAAAGCTTTTGTACGCAGGCAAATATACGTGACTCTGTCTTTGCTCGGACGTATTTTCTGCCCTGGATAGTTTCAACGTTACATCCGATGATGCGAAAGTTACTTTTTGATGAAGGCCACGCACATTTCTGCATTGAACCAGCTTAGGACATCGTGCGCAAATAAATGGAAGAGGCATGTCACATTTCGTCTTCTTTTATCCGAGGACGCATGCACGCAAGGCAAAACACAACGCATTCAGGCGCAGTCAGCAAAATACGCATTTACGCATGCAGAACAATACTAGCGCATACAGAACAATACAAGCGCCTCGACGGCAGACCCCCTTCCTTGGCGCAGGAGGTTTCTCCCTGTCTCGGCCGGTAACCGCAGCCGGCGTATTTGCCGCGGCTGGGGTTCCGGCTTCGTGGTCCCGCCCGCAGCCAGGGGGCCGCGCCCGGGCCACTTCACTGCAGCAGCGCGAGGGGAGGGGAAGGTCAGGCGCGCCTCCTCGGCTCGGCAGCCAGATAAAGCCTGCTGGAGTGATGTGTGCATCAACCAGGGAGATTCGTAACTAGAAACGGCCGGATTCAGATCATTTCTGGTGGAAAAGCCAGCTCACTTGGCAAATAGACTGGACATACCGCAGG